TTCCACTCAAGTTTAATCAGCCCAAACTAGTCACTTGATCTCATTCTAAGGGGATAAAAGTTGAGCATGATAGTTTTTGCCACACCATACCTTATTTCCTAGGAAAAAATTAGCAACATCTATTCTCATGTTAAAAACAAACAAACAAACAAAAACCAAATAAACAAAACAACTAAATGGCATAGATACAGGAAGTCAAGACTGCTTACACAGGATTGTCCAAGTATACCTGCTGGGCTTTCTGGCTTCGTAAAGTTAAAGCCCAATCTATCTCAAGCATGGGAATGGGAATGCACTTTTTTTTTTTAAATTGCTACTAAGAGCAGTATTGAATCATTTTAATAGTTTCTCTCAGTCTACAAAATATTTAGAGCACAAAACATAATAATATAGTGACCTTATTTAAATTTTAAAGAGACCAAAAAAATATCCGGTAAATATTAGGCCACCAACCTGCTATGCTAAATCTTTTTTCTTCTTGGCCTTCAGTAAAATAAGCTCAGTGGTCTAATGCTCTATCCCCCTGTGTTCTGTGGTCCAACATAAAATCTTACTTTAGCACAACTGGCAATCAGTGCTTACATAAAACAAAAGAATAAGTTCCCAGGCAGAAAAAAAAAAAGCTAATTCTGCTCTCCAAAATAGCTGATTCTTTCAAAGCAGAATAGATATTACCAGAAAAACTATAAGAGACACGGGTAGGCCAAAGTGTGAACTCAGTACTTGTGCAGTTAAACAACCATACTTGGATCCCCATTCAACAGAATAGCAGACAAACACCACACTAAAAGATTATCCTATGTAATCACTGTTTACAAAATAAATCCCTGTTTCCATCTAAACAATGTAGAAAGTTTAAATTATAATATGTTTTCTACTGCTATTTGGCACTGTATTAATAGGGTGACCACTTTGCTTGACCTATTTGCTGAAATTTGCTAGAACTCCAGGAGACCATATGGAYAGCCAGATGGGTTGCTGTAATTTAGTGCCATTATTCTAAGGATAAAGTAAGAAATCAACATAATTTGCATTCTTTTCCATCGTTCCTGCTTACCTTTTATTAGTTTCATTTTTAATTCAGACATCAAAAGAAAAGATAATACCTTGCTACCAAGGCCCAGATGCCAACTAATTACTACAAGAGACTCCAGCCCTGACATCACAGGCCAGGCCTGAGAACACGCTCCATCTTACTCAATGACCCTACCATAGTGATTAATAGGTTGAGTGCTAAGTCCTAATGAGTGTGTCAGATCTTAAATGTTCTCCAGGCTAATGTAATTAGCATTATGTTGAACAGAATATTTCAGTTGCTTGGTAGAGAGTCATTATACTTCATAGTAAGTGATGTGCCTTTTCACCTCAAAGACCTCATATGGTCTTCAAATTTATAATCATCAACCAAAAATGCTTCTCTAACATGAAGATCTTTCAAAACTTACAGAGAAATATGTAAATATTTTTCAATCAAGCATTGATGTTTTCTATAGCAGTAAACCCATATATTATACATAAAGTGAGATGATTTTCAAATATACTTATTTAAAAATGCAAGTTTCTGGACTCTACCAACAAAAATTCTGGTATGAGGGGATTGAGGATAAGGCCTAGAATTATACATTTTTAACAGGAGACCCTCTATTCCCAAACAGAAAAATCTATGGACTGCCCTTGGAAAAAAACACTGCAATCTGAGTAGCAGAACTAATAACCTGCACCTTAGAGTAACTGAATCTATCAGGCTTTTTTGTTCTAAATGGTTATTTGTGTTTCTGAAAAAAATCATGCACACTCATAACAAAGACTGTTTTCACATTGGGATTATAGCTTAAAATGTGCAAATTAATTTTTTAAAAGATTAAAAACTACCAGGATAATACATTAATTTTATTTCCAACAAGCCATGTAAATGCATGAGATCTAGATCAGATGGTAGATATAGCAGTTATAATCATCTCTACCCACTAAGCAAAGAATCTGAAACTATATTTCCAGTTTTAAGGGAAAGAAAAAAGCGTAGCAAAATTTCTGAAATCCCCAACTTTCTTCCATGATCACAGATGACATACCAAATGTTTTGGCCATGAAAACTGAGGAGTTTGTAAAATACTCCAAGTACTAGGATCTCACCTAGATATTACCATCATCAATTACTAAACACTAAATATTTTCACATGTTTAGCGTTGCTTTCTTGAACTACTGGAAGCAAATATCTGTCAATTTTTAACTTAGATGAATTTTAYTCATCTAGTATCCTAAATAGTTTAAGGCAACTTTTTAAAAATTTGTAACTACCAAACTACCATTTTATTTATGAATTTCAAGAAATCTTTTTTGGACCTTTTTGAGTTTTTACCATACATTTTAAAAAAGAAAATAAATGTATAAATAAAAGGAAAAAATATTTATGACAAATATAATGCAGGTATTTATTTATCATTTCATACCAAGTTTTAGTGGTTTGAGGAAATTAAAATTATATTTTATAGTGATTTAAACTCAGATCATTCTTCATTTCTATGATGCTTTTATATTCAGCCAGGGAGTAGAAGGCTGTCATATGTCCATGGCAAGTCCATAAACCCATTCTCTTTTTGATTATGAAAAATGATTGGTGAGGTATAAAGTTCAGTCCAGCAATGGCTGGATGCATGCAGCTCTGAGTTTTCCTCTAGAATTCTGGCCTTTCCCATAGTCCCYAAATCTAGGTAGGGAAGTTTTAAGAGTTCTGACCCATGGGATGTGTGCATAAATGAAGTTTATGATCATCCATGCTGTCTACCTTTGTTTTGTCCAGCAAACAGAGAAGATTGAAAGAATAATCTACAAAGACTTAACTGATGGCATAGCCACAAGACGAAACACTGCTGAGTAAGAAACAAATCTACCTTGCCTTAAGCCACTGAGTCTTTGGGTTTGTGTGCAAAAAACTAAGTCAAGTATTAATTTAATAACATCAGGTTTTGTCTTACCTATAAGTTAGTCAACAATTTGTACAACATAAAATTAAGAATATAATAGGACCTGAAGTCCAATTAAATTCAATATACTGACATTAAGTCACTTAGAAGATTCTTTTTTCATTGTATTTAAGAGGGGGAGGGCTAGGGCTGTAAATCAGTGGTAGAGCGTGTGCCTTGTACATGTGAGGCACAGGGTTTGATCCTTAGCATCACATAAAAATAAATCAAGGTATTGCRTATTTAAGAGGGGATTGAAACACTACATTCCTTTATATTAAGAGCTTTTGGAGCTCAAGTTAAGATGACTTGTGTGTTGTTCTAGCAGAGCATTATGAAAGAAAACCTCACCCTCTGGCTGAAAGAACAAACCCCAAAGCACAATATTTCTTGTCCTTTTTCATAAAAAAAAAAAAAAATCACCATTGCTAAATGCTTACAGCAACTATATAAAAGAGATTTTTAGAAAGGGTTTTAGATGCAGATTTTCTTATTGACATGTCCAAGTAGCATTCTGAAGATGCCACTTATATTAAAATAAAAATACATCAGTTAAACATAACTAGTCCCATGCTGGATCAATCTAAAATTATTGATAAATAAAAAATAGAAAACACCAATATCAACATATGTGTGTATGCACACATCACACACACACACACACACACACACACACACACACAGTAGGATTATTTCAAGATTTTTTTTTACGTTGATAGTGCAATGAAAAGATAGCATCATTAAAAATAATTATTATGTCACTGAACAAATGACCTTGGTGGGTGTAGTACATAAGTCACTACATTACAAGGAAGGAAAAAACATTGCATTGGGCTTGTAGAAGGCCTGAGTTAGCTCTGACTCTGTCGTTTTCTAGATGAAAAGAGGAAGATAAGAGAAAGGCAGAGAATACAGTGATTAAATATTTGAAGTACCACTTTTATCAGCCACTAGTGAGATGTTTGACTCAGTAAAGCTATTTTATCTCTCCATTTCATCAGCTAGAGAGAGAAAATAACATTTATYTCATAGGTTAAGAGGATTAAGTCATACCCTGTATATCAAGTGATGAGGGAGGCCTTGGCTGAAACTAAATATTAATAAATATTGGACACATAGCAATAATGTTATATCTCTGTCAGTAAGAGCAACATCATCTTTACTTCTAAAATTAAAAAATGATACTAATTTATATGATTTGTTTAAATTCTTATATTCTGAGTCCATAATTGTATCTTGCAGTTAAATATCCATTTGGAAAATGAAAACTCTAAAATCCATGTATTTTAAGTAATGGCTTTAAAAAAATTTGTAAGTCAGTCTGGTCTGCTAGTGAGACTGATTTAAAGATGACAAGCCACATAAAAATGTACTAATTCCATTTTTTTAACATTCAGAAGTGAGATGATATTTTGATATATTCATTATTCCTCATGACTCATACCCATCATTAAAATATAGAATATAAAAACATGTTATCAGGCAACCATTTAAATAAAAAAATGTCATATTTAATGAGACCTATAATAATAAGGAATTGTTTCTTACCTGATTCTGAAAGACTCTAGAATGTGAATAACAATCCATTTTTGCAGTGTAAGGTRAAGTACTTTCAGAGTTTATGAATTGTCAGCAACTTAAACAAGTTTCCTTCTCATTCAAAAAAAAAAAAAACAACAAAAACATTTCTCCCAGCTAGACCAATAATAAGAAATGATACCAACACTAGTGCAGCTTTTATTCCAATCTAAATAGAAAAGTATTTACCTTGAAAATTTCATAAGTTTGTAAATTTTGATTTTTACAAATAAATTTTCATTCAAACAATGCCAGARGCTCAAAATGAATAGTTTGAGATATTGGATTAAAATCATTTAAAATTTCTTAGTAATACTTTTGATTGGTTGTGACTGTACCATGAAAATAGGGCTTTAATATATACCAGGATACTGCATATAAATCACACAGTAGAACTGTGGCATGAAGAATTGTTTTCCTAATCCAGAATTCTACTTAATCCAAGACAAGAACCTTACCTCCTGCATACATAACAGCCAGCATAATGGATGATATCCATGCTATTTCACTGTACGTGGTGTGGAATATTTGCTGAATTTCTTTGAAGAATACTGTGACGGCTTTGGGGAATGCATATGAAAATCCAATGGAGATAAAAGATGCTCCAACCACAACCCAGCCCCATCCTCCATCAGGAGGTGGGTATAAAGGTGGGGAACTTGGCATTGGTGGCATTTCGTTCCTGTATTTCAAATTCAAGTAACCTACATACACACAAAAAAATGAATAACAGTTTAACCTTATTTGCATTTTTGTATGTCACTCTTGCTAGTTACTAAAATAGTACTTCCCAGTTACAACTACAATACAATTTTTCATTAATATTTTATACTCATGAATTCAGAAAATCTATGAAAAATAATATGAAGTATATAACTTGGACTACTATAAACTAAAAACTAAAAGCATTTAATTTATGGGACAAAAATTTCTTGAAGTGAAGTTAAGAATTTAGATCTAAATCAACCAAAAAATAAAAACTATTTCAATTTTATTTTCCAAACATAAAGAAAATGAAACTGCCACCACTTAAAATAAAATACTTTTTACTTTCAAAATATTGACTTTAAAATTATGTATACAAAGTTTTCAAAGGACTAGATAATAAATATAAAGAATTATAAAACATTTAATAGGCATACTCTGGAATTTTTCTATTTTTAATAAGTGAKAGTTTGTAAAATCATTTCTGTCTGAATCTATTTTCTAAACTATTAAACTAAAAATTATATGCTTCTGTGGAATTATACTAGTTTTAATATACTTCTATTACTGGTGCTGCCTACCATTTTATGAAGGATACATAAAATAAAATCTCCAAAATACATTTGTTTGTTGAGGCTTTAGAACATCCACTTTCCCATGGAAGAAAGTAATATAATATTAAAACCACATGATTAAATTAAAAATATTTGGTTCCCTAGTTTGTTGGTTTGTTTTTGGAGAGTGATGTGGCTTGCTTAGTTCTTAGATATATACAATTGCCACTACTTTAAGTACCTTCTTTAGATTGAAATAAAATATCTTCTATATGTAGATATTCCTTAATTGAAAGGTAGAGGGAAAAATCAGAAATAAGTGAAAAAAAAAGAGCTAATTTTGCCACACATTTTCAGAAAATCTAGCTTGTAAAATGACCTACATTTTTATTGCCTACTGTTATTTCACTTTTGGATGATTGTGAATATGGTCATAACTTTCTTTTTTGCCTAAAAATTCATATTTAAGGTGCAAATTAAGACATTTTAATATGCATATACGGAGTGAACTGATCATTACCTTCAATTTAATTAACATATCTCCTCATATAGTTACCATTTTTCATTTCTGTTTTTGTTTTTTGTTGTTATTGACAATACCTAAAAGCTATTCATGTCACAAATTTCCAGAATATATACAATATTATTAAGTACAGTCATTGTGTTGTACATTATACAATAAACTTATTCACTCTATAAACTGMAATTTTATACTCCTGAACAAAATCTAATTTCTACCATCTACCTCTACTCCAGTAAGTATTGTTTCACCATTAGCTTCTATAAGTTTGAAGTTCTTTAATTTTAAATATAAATGAGACTGTGCAGTAATTTTCTTTTTATGTTTGGCTTGCATCACTTAATATAAYGTCTTCTTTGAAACCAGTCTTGGAAATCAGGATTAGTTTATTAAAACCTTTTTGCTCTTACTTGGTGTATCTTGGGTGTTCAGTCTTCAACATTGGGGAATAGGACCTGATCCTTATTTTCTACTTTCATAGATGTTGTGACAAATAACAGTTATATTGTGTTATTTTTTTTTTAATCACCAGGATCGAACCCAGGGATGTTTAACCACTGAGCCACATCCATAGCTCTATCTATCTATCATCTATCTATTTATCTATCTATCTATCTATCTATCTATTTATTTATTTATTTAGAGACAAGGTCTCAAAATAAGTTGCAAAAAGAGTAAATCAAATTTAAATGATCAAAACCTTCAATTGCCACCATGGTCAACAGAAAACTTTTCTTCTTTTACACTATATATTGTTTTCTTTTTCAGTCTATTTTACATATATTATTTGCATATTATTCTTTTTATAAATGGCTTTCTTTAAAAATATCTCTGATTACTGTTTTAAAAGAAGTTAGGGTATAAATGACAAATGTACCTATTATTCTAGTCGGTACATATAGAAAGCATGGCTCTAGATACAGTAACATTAATTAAATGAAATAGTCTCAAAAGATCAAACTGCTCATTTCTTAACTGACTTAAATGTATGACATTCAAATTAACCAATAATTCAATTAATGAACAAAGAATCTACCTCAGTAAATATTGACTATATATTTTGCTAAGCGTGTGTTTATTATCTCCAGTAAATATGTACTTGTTCAATTTAGTTTCCATAAATACCCATTAAGGTACTTTATTTTTTTAAATGAGAAAAACTTGATATATTAAGAAAGTAGATCTAAGTAAAATAATAATATCAGGGAATAAATTTCACTAATAACTGCTGACATAAATAGAATTAGTAACATAAATAGAAATAGAAATAATGGTAACATTCAAAAATAAAATGAAGCAAAATAAACAAACCMAAAGAAAAACCTAGGCATTTTTGCCACATTTTCTTTGAATATCTATAYTATTCTTAAGAATAAAAATAATCAATAACATTTGATTTTCAAACATTAAGAAAATAATTTGAAAAATTCTCTTCCTAGTGACCATTGGATGATTTGGATGTTAAGTATCTCCTAAAGATTCACATTGTAAAGGCTTCATTGCCAGCCTCTGGTGTTAATGGGAGGTGGTTGGACCTTTAAGAGGTGGAGCCAAGTGGCAGGAAGTTAGTCAGTGCCTTTGAAGGAGATATTGGAACCTCAACACTTTCCTCTTTCTTTTCTTCCTGGCTGCCATGAAGTGAGCTGCATTGTTCCATCATATATTCCTTGTCATATGTTCTACATTACCGTGGACTCAAAGCTACAGGACCAAGTGACCAAGCAGCCATGGGTTGAAGTCTCTGAAACCATGAATCAGAGTCAAAGCAAACCTTTCCTCCTTTTACATTTATTTTCTCAGGTATTTTGTCATGGTGATGGAAAACTAACACAAGGACACATTTTTAAGAAATCTACCAAAAATACCATGGAAACTATTATAACAAAGCCAAGTAAAATGCTTTARCCACAAACTATGCATACAATGCATATCTTGGTCAATCATGATCATCAGGACAAAAACATTTCTATTAAGTTAATAATTTATATTAACTTAATATTTATCAAAGATGCTAAAATTTCCAAAAGCAACCCAAAATACCACAACTTATCAATAATTATTTTTTTAAATATGAATGTTAGCAGTATATTTATATTCTGCTTTTATAATCATTTTTGCTTTCTTGGAAACAATTAAAATTATCCATCTTTTTTTTCTATAGTATTTATTTCTCCTTACTCATCAATTTATAACACTAGAAATAATTTCTTTAAAAATCATTAACACTAAGAAAAAAAAAAGAGGTGGATTTTATATATKAGTTAAATAAGCTAAAAATGGCAATTGGCCTTTGAAAGTTGTCTAAAGCATCCGAATCAATAGATTACTAAATTTTATTGTATTTTGAAATATCCAATTTTCTTATTGCTTGACAATGAAAATAAAACATTTCTGGAGAAATACTGAAGAAATACCAAATGACATTTGTGTGGTAACTACTGTTTATTGTAGAGTGTAAAAACAATTAACAGACTTAAAAATGTTATTTAGTAATTTTCCTGCTTGCATAAAAGAAGCCAATACATCTTTCATTATTAATTCATGAGTGTAAATTTTTGTAGTTTTTATCACATCTGCTATAGTAAACACTTAGAAATTCAACTGGGTGATTTGGTTTTTAGTGATTTCAAAAGTCATAAATCCCAGCTAGATTCGATGTGTATGCATGTAATCCCAGCAGCTCCAGAGGCTGAGACAGGAGGATCATGAGTTCAAAGCCAAACTCAGAAAAAGTGAGGTATTAAGCAACTCAGTGAGACCCTGATTCTAAATAAAAATACAAAATAGAGCTGRGGATGTGGCTAAATGGTTGAGTACCCCTGAGTTCAATCCCCGGTAACCCCCCTAAATAAATAAATAAATGGTAGTTGAATTTGAATGTGAAATGTTAGTCTTTCTGTTAATGCTGAATAATTTTAGGGCTTCAGAAAAATAACAATAGACCTTTTTAATATGATGCTTTCTATCTGCCCTTCCAGATTACACYTGCTCTCTAAGAAACAACTATTCCAAATTATATGAGAAGCTTTAAATTAATTGTATTTATATTTTTACAGTATATGTATTTGGGCATGTGCTGTCTAGTGTATATATTCACAAACTCGTATGTAATATATGAACTAAATATATTTTATATTTTATGTAAGATTTTGATTATAGAATATATATGTATAAGTCCAACAGGCAAAATTTAATAGTAATTTAATGAAGGCATTACATGTAAATCTATGTTTTTATTCTATATATTACATACAAATATTTATATTCATAGATTCATTTATAAGTATTCCCAGAAATAGATTTTTGATTTAATATTATAATTTTACATGTAGACAATATTCTTAAAGATTTTTTAATCTGATGTTTTGGAGTATAGAGGATTCTTATTATTCATTGGAGGTATGTTCTATGATGTTATCTTGAACCCAGTATTARCAAATTCTGAACATTTGCTTGTAAAGGAAATATGGGATTGAGTTTATATGCGACTCCAATCACATTTTCATCAATCAATATATAACCTCATTGATGTGTATTTCCACTTAAAGATGKTTAATGTATTAGCACCAAACTGAAGGTCAATGGCATTGTAAATCATGCCTGAATGAGGCTTATCTTACACAAATGTTTTCTCTCTAAGGTGTATCCCAGGCTTCTTGCATTGGGGAACATCAGCAGCACTCTGGCAGGCCATTCTAAACTGCAAATTCACTAACAAAGAGGCACAAAAATGTAAAAAATGTGGCATTGAGTAGATTACACAAAGGTTACATGGTTACAGTAGGTAACTGAAACAAGAAGATAGAGTGTTGCCTGAAATTTAAAATTTAAAAACATGAAAAATGGAGATAATAAAGAAAAACAAAATCACCCACAGTCCTAACACTGGACTAAACTATCACAAACATGTTGGTGAATATTGTACATAATTGTGTTGCAAAATTGGAAATGACAGTTTCAAGTTCTATCAAAATTGAACCTACRAATATGTAACCAATAGAAAAATAAAAACTTCCAACTGGTTTATATATTCATAAATATTTTCATGATCAGATGATGATTCTTCTGAATCACCTTTTGAATAATAATTTTCAATGATACTAAGATACTTTCCCCTGGGCTATCAAGAGCATCTCTACAGAGTGCTCCATCAATATCACCAGSAATTTCTTCCAAGCTGCTCAGGACATTCTATGTTTTGACACCAATATTTTCTTGATCTTAACARAACGTATCAACAGAAGATATTAAGGAAAAATAAAAAAGAAAGTAGAACTTATATKTATTTATCTAAAGGGCAATAAATGGTTTGTTGACTCAAATACGAAGGAATTAAAATTGACCAATCATCAATTGACTATGCACCAAATTTATATATGCATAGGCCAAGACCCTGTCATGATTGCCACTTTGGCAAAACTGATGGTAATATGCTATCCASTGTAAGACATCCTCACTTCAAAGATGTGAAGCAATGTGTTTCTTGAAATTGATGAAATAATGAATACAGCAAATATTTACACTTTTATATGTATGTTCAATATGTATTTTAATGTATATAAATTTAATGTACATAAATAAATGTGCTACATATAGATACATTTCTATCATTTGAATTTATCATTTATTATTTTTAACTCCTAAATACATAGCCACATGACCAGTTTTAACAGTATTTTGTTAGCTACTATTGCCCATGTAATTTTGCTAAACCTAGGGATGGTAGAGTGTTCATTGTATCTTGATATTCTAAGTTATATTTCAGTGAGTACTTTTTTCCTGCACCTCTTATTTCAATCTAAACCATAGGAAAATATATTTTTTGCTCCAAATTTCTCATTCTTTCAATTAATAATTTTGAAACCTCTATAAAAYTGTTACCTTCAAATAGCATTTCTAATGGTTTATTCAATGTATGTCTTTGCCATTAGTCCAAGATAACAAGTTGTTCACTRTATCTCAAGTTCTCAGCATTGTTTTTGATGTGTAGTAGGACACTTTTAGTTGTAACTACTTGTGCTTGGAAAGAAATTATTTTATCAATTGTACTACTTGCTGTAATTTTCTCTCTGTAATTATAATTTTAGCTTTAAAATGAATTTGTACACTTCCAAATAACAATGAGATATAATATGTTGTTTTGCCATAAAATAAGTTAAATATATAAACAAATAAAATGTGGGCCCACATACATTTGATTGAGATAGGTTTGTTTTTTTTTTTAATTTAAATGTTTTCTACAAGGAGATAGCAATACCATGTAGCTAATGCTSATAGCAATTGTGGTGTAAGTGCCTGAGAAGAGGCTGACTTTAGATCACATCCTAAATGAAAAGTAAAGAAAAGCAATATCTCCTGAATAAATCTTGACTAATGTAGACACAGGTAAATAATGAATCTACTGAAATCTAGAAAAAGGGCTCAAAAAATAGAGGCTTCCAAAAAACTGAAAGAAGTAAAAATGCATAGCAATGACTTATGCTAGCTCTCTTTTCCCTTAACTCCTCCTATTTTTACCTCCAATACACACGTGCAAATAAACACATACACACACAACACATGGAAACACAAGCATATACTCATCTACTCTAGGAATTAATCATTTCCACATATGTCATTTATCAAATGAAAAGTCTTTAACAACTTTGAAAGACAGTTTCTGATCTGCACATCAGCCTTCCATAGACAATGAACTACTTCCCATTTCTCTAGATTCTATCCTCCAGGAAGACCTGAGAAGAGGTCTGATTTCGTCTCCCTACTACATTCATGTTTTTCTAATGTTCATAGCCTCAAACTGCAGGTCTGTTGTTCAGATCATTAACTATTTGAATTTTATATTATTTGTAATAGAAGTCGATCCATTTTCTCAGATGTTAACACGTTTCAACCTTTTCAAAAGCTTTCTTTCCTTTTTATAAAATAGCATTATTCAATTGAGTCTTTCAATTTTTTTGTTTTTGTATTACTCTTGTCACAGTTTGTCAGTTCACTATCTTAGTCTATATATATATATATATATATATATATATATATATATATATATATTCTCTGTTCCCCCCATATTTCCTTGATTTGAATTACAGTTGCATGCTCCAGATTGCAAGTCACCACTCATATGCCTCTTCACTTTCTTACCTAGTACCTATTTTGTTTCTTTCACATAACACAACATCTTCTGATCTCTTAACTAACTCATTGGAAAGTGGGGCCAGATCAATTAGCCCTTGGAAAGGTTGTCACCAAGATTGTCATCTCTTCCTTATTAGCAACTCTTGAGTTGATGAATACTCAGGATACAGTTCAAACACACTCTTTGGCCTCATGATTTCTTCCTGTGCACAATTCTGTAATATTTTATACAACTGGTGGCTGTTATGCTTTGTTCCTTTCACTTGTGGGTGCAGCCAAGAAAAAACAGAATTTAAAATATACTTTTACCTGTTGATAGATGACCTCTTGAATGGATTTCTTTGGGTTTTTTTGTGGAATCTTTTAGCCTAGTCACTTTGTGYTGAAGTGCAATATTTGAAGGCAAAGCAAAGAAAGAGAGGTAGACAGGCTCTGCGTTATCTAAAGAAATAGAAAAACAAGTGTTACACATATAATTGAATTCCACAGCCTCATTGATGCCACTAGCATTAACTAATTCCGACAACTGTGACCATCTTTTAATAATTAGTAAAATTTAATATGCTTGTATATGTATGTGTGTACATCTATATATAGAGAGAGAAAAAACTTGACTCTTTCTGAGAGAGAGAGAGAGAGAGAGAGAGAGAGAGGATTGATTTGATGAGAAAATGTGTGCATGAGTGAAAAACTATAAGGTAAAGGAAAATCAGACATATATATATGACATATATATATATATATATATATATATATATATATTCATACACACATGTATACATACATGTGTACATGAGTATATTGTATATCTTTCATTATGAAAAAGAAAATTGATTGGCATTAATTGTCATTCAAATAATTCTCTAGACCCATTAAGGTATTGAACAGATTGCTCTAAAATTCAACTAAACAAATACCCAATAACAATGGAAATACAAAGTTTAAAAGAACATTATTAAAAATAGCATTGATAATGTATACATGTGTTAGTAATGAGATAAAATGGGCAGTAAACAAACAAAAATTATTTTATGGAACTTCTGTTTCAGAATTAAAACTTCTTTAATCAGGTGTGGGTGATAGACGAATATGCTGAGTCTATGACACATCAAATATGTTTATTTCAACCTCAATATGATGCTGAATCTGTAGACCTTTAGATACTAAGAGGTAATATTGTTTGGGCCAAAATTTCATATGACTGGATTAAAGTTAGGAAGGAGTCAGTTCTTTCAATTAAATCAACAGTCACATGCCTGGCACCCAGAGCCACATGTTCTAAAGTCCTGAAGGAAGACAACAGTCACCAGGTGAAGGGAGGTTTATATTAKAGGATGGAGAAAATGTTATCTAAATGCTAAGTTGGTGGAAACTGACAGTGGYGGCTAGAAAAAGATGAGTAAAGGAATTTGAAAGTCACATCTAAAATCTTAGAATCTGACAGCAACGGCATTGAAGACAGCTTTGATTATAGCAGCTCCAGTCACATTAGGAACTTGGGAGCCTCTGCAGCTTTTTTAARGGGGGCACTGTTAATTCAAGAATGCAGCCTCATCCCACCCTCAAGTACCATGMAAATGAGGAAGACCTTTATGTTTTGAACAAATGTGTTTTCTATTCATCTCCTCTGGAGAGAGAACTTCTCTGGGTTCAGGGCAGAGCCTCAAGGGAAAGTGGGAGGCACATCTGAAAACCGGGCCYTCCCCCTTTAGTCTATGTTTGATTACACTCAATTTACACATGATTTTAGGAACCAGAACAAAGAGATCTTGAGAAGTCCAAATTCTACATGCTCATCATTTCTATGAAATTTCACACTGCCTTRACGAGACCATTTTCTTCCAGAAAGAGCAACCCATACCCTAGGTTCTTTTCAACTAATGGGGCAATGAGCCAGAAGTTCCCTGCTTGGTAGTTACACTTAGGTTAATTTATKTTACATCTCTTTCTCTACATATCCTAAACTATCATGGTCTATTCTAAACACATCAATATCAACTACTCATGCAATGAATATATAGGTCTTTAGTCTTAAAAAGGAAAGGTAGTGTTTTAGAATCTCTTCATCTAACTAAAAATCCAGTAGAATATCAAACGGAATGACATTTTTAGCAAACGGAATGACATTTTTTTTTTTAATCTGAGAAAATAACTCTTCTAGGGACAGCTTCCTAAAATCCAAGTAGGCATAAGGCTTATTTCCAACTACAAAAGCCATGTGAATTATTATACCTAACAGATGGCATGTAGTAAGTGCTAATTTTGCTTCTTAGCTGTCCCCCTTATATGCCACGTTTTATGACAAACTTTACTTATCACTGGCTGCAAGAAAAATAATGCTTTAAATCTTTCAATTTTTGTCTAAAATTTTATTGATATTTGATAATTCCACAGATTCAGAGAAACTGCTATTTTGAATCCCATTTCATAGATGAAGGCATAAAGGATCAGAGGTGCAAAGGGATTTTTTCCAAGTGTATTGTTCAGTAGGTAACCAAATTGGTACCATGACTGCTATCTTTTTATTAGGGTCACTCTGGGCTGATTCTACTTTAACACACCAACTTGGAGGCTGCTTCTTCTCCACACAATTACACTTCTTCAGTTTCATTTCAGTGGTGAATTTTCAAATTCAATTATTACATAKCCTTTAGCTATCATGTCCATCAGAATCAATATACTTACTTTTTGGAATTCAAAAACTAGAACTATCCTTCAAAGTAATTTGAAAATTCAACATTTTYTCTAGCTTATTTATATTTATCAGTGCTTTCTATTATCGTTTTGAGTCTAGAGGCTACAATGTATTGCTATCATTAACAAAAGAAAGGCTTGAAGGCTAATAAAAAAATCTGAGTATTTCAAGTGATTTTCAACAACTTATATGATAGAWCACATACTAATGCCCAAGAACTTTTTCTTGTCTTCTGTAATTAATATGGGTTGATAAGTTAAGTTGATTAATTTATGGAAAAGAYGCAGGATCCAAAAGTAATAAAACTATTAGCAATGCTAGACTCTAGTTTTACTCAAGACTCATTCAGTTGCACAGAATATTGAAATATTCCTCTGTTAACCTTGTGAATAATCCTTTCTTCAATTTCCCAAACCCAAACAAGCATGCATCAGTTCTTGGAAGCCTTATCAATAGCCTACACTGTCCAGAAGTTTATCTTTCAATATACTGCCTAGAAATAATGTACTCAGAAAACTAAGTACCAGATTAAATCAATATGAGCTAGGAGACTATTGACTTCACCATAAATTCATCTGGATGCTCTACATTAAAGCACATGTCTTCTTTCACATCTGACCTAAACAGTGTCCCATGTTTGTACCTGAACAAATTAATATGTTTTTAAAGAATAATAGACTGATCTTTTTACTTTCTTTTCTTACACAAAAGAATCTAGCAATGTCAAACTAATGTATGGTGTTTAAGTTTAGGAGACAACTTGCCCAATTTTATAACAGGAATTAAATTGAACCAAATCTTTTCTTTTCTAACTTGTAATAGAATTAAAATTGGAATCTAGTCCTGGGAGACTATTTTATTGTTCAAAGTAAACCATCTTTTCAATCTGTTGGACTGATTTACTTTGACATCCAGGCAAGAAAGATATCCATCGAGCACGGTCCACACAATGTTGTTAATACAAAACCTATTTTTAGATGTAAATTACTGCTGTAGTTAAAATGACTCTGAGAATTCTAATTGATAATAAGGATCATGCTCACTAACATTATTTTAGAATTGGCCAATTAGGAAAAATAATATGAACCAGCATGTGATTATCTATGAGGAATTGGAGCTGAAACTTTCATAAAAACAATTCCTGTATTTTCTAATATTTTAATTTTAGAACTGTGTAAAAACAAGTAGAGCAAGCTGAATGGTGACCATGTCCATATCCAAATACTCAGAACCTATAATCTTACTTTATATGGTAAAAAAATATGATTAAGTTAAGGATTTTGACAGAGAAACATATTGGAATATCCAGGTGGGCACTAAATTCAAACACATGTACTCTTACAACTGAGAAAAGCAGAGTGAGTTGAGAGTGACAGACATTAAAGATGACAGAAAAAGATGTGTTGATATGTAGATGGAGGCAGAATAGGAAGAGAGGTGACCACAAGCCCCCAAATACCAAAACAACTACTGACATCAGATGTTAAAGAGGAGCAGTCTCCCACAAAGACTCCTTAAGAAGTTTCGTCCTGCACCTGGATCTTTAGAAATTTCAGAATTTTTATTAGTCTAAGCTACCAAGTTTATAGTAATTTGTTACAAACCACCCTGTGAGACTAGAACAATAGTGGTGGTATATCATTTTTAAAAGTCATGAACAATCAATTGCACTGTAAGGATTTTCTTCCAGGCACAAYTGCTTAAGCATACCAAGACATACAGAACGTCCAGAGAAAGTCACCAGCAAATGGGGAAATCATTGTACATTCACAACAAASTACTATTTGACACAAATGTAAAAGGAATGAAGCAGATCTGAACATCCCAAAATGTAGCGCTTTGACATGCTGAGCTGGAGGATCAATATCTTTCTGACCTCCACTCTTCCACCACCGGCTATTTTTTCTCTTGATCCTCTGTTTTCCAAAGGCATGAGGAAAACTTTGTTCTGACATTCTCTTATTGGCCTTGAAACTGGACTTGCCGAAGAGAACACAATTACCTTCTTCTTTCTCCCTAGTATCTAATTAGCAATGGCAGAAAAGACCACTGAGGAATTTATACCTAGATAGAGTTTTGTCACAAGATGTCTATTTTGGGGGTTCATTCAAATWTCTAAAAGAATCATTTAAAAGCTAATCTGTCTCCCTAATAAGGGAGACATTCCTCCTTCCTAATAACCATTTACTACCTCTCAAAAAGAATGCAACATTCCCCTACATGTCCCTGTCTGAGATAGATAAGTGTCCACACCTTACTAATATGGTCAATAATCACACTCCTGGGATTTCCCACTGTTCATGTGAAATAAATTTTTAAGTCTTTTTCTCCTATTAATCCGTCTGTTGTCAGTTCATTCCAGTAAAACTTTGGAAGGAGTAGAATGAGATTTCTCCTTACTTTTGCAGTGTGTGTGTGTGTGTGTGTGTGTGTGTGTGTGTGTGTTATAAATACACACAAGAATATATATATATATATATATATATATATATATATACTCACAAAAGAATATAAATTATTCAGAAATGCATTAAAAACTACTAATAGCAAGTAGCTTTGGAAAGTTGCTATTTACGATTTGTGCATTTTTGAAATGTTTAAATATTGTAAAATGAATACATCTTATTTTTCTATTAAAAACTTCAGATAAATGCTAAAATACAAAACAATCTACACACGTTTTCTAATATGTTAAATTGTTCTTGCAAGTACTTCTATTTATAATACAAGTCAAATTTTCATATTT